TACAGGATGAGCCATTGCTGCTTACGCATTAAAAATCACTGAGCTATAAATATATGGAGAGCGCAACTATAGATACAGAAATTGAAGCCGGAAGTCGCGCGCGGCCGCCATCTTACTGTGACCACCTTGAGGAGTGAGCTATTGGGATTAATACGGTATTTTCAACTGTTTTGTTCTGTTATCTCGCAATAGAGGAACAAATCAAGTCAAATATGGTATTTTAACCAAAAGCACATGTTCAAGAATGTTGGGGACCTCTTTTACATTCAAATGAACTCAATCGTAAAGAAACGTTTCAATTCTATTTCAGAACCATCCTCAGAGATAGGAAAACTAGTTTCATATTAATCTGACACTGCAATCGAGCAACGAAAAATTCGGTCTAGATACCCGAAGATGCGAGTTCAAATCCCGCTCGAGCCAACGAATTTTTCGTTGCTCGATTGCAGTGTCAGATTAATATGAAACTAGTAAAGAAACGTGTCTATATTTTTGACGACGTTTCTGAGTGCGACTGAGATGAATCATGAATACAGTCGTGACAACACCTTTCAAATGGGAATTTCTGATAGAGATCGGTGAATTATACCATAAGTTAACACATGAGAAATTGGTCATGAACTTTATTGTTTTGGAAATGGTGAATTTTATATGGACAAGATCATAATATACTCATATCACCTCATATTTGTTTCTATCAACGCAAACAATTTATGTCGCTTGTGGGATTTGTTAAAGGAACAAATGATTCAGGATGGTAGAAAAAATAGCAGGTGCGTTGTAGTGATCTTATTTATGTTAATGGTGGGTGTTTAAACGCAATGCCTTGTGAGAATATATACCACACCATCCCTGCTTGTGTAATATGTTCCTTATTAAAGTCATAGTCATGATTATTAATTATCACTCTTCTGAGAAGACCTCAATGGTGTTTTATTCCAAAGAAGCAGATTAAAATTAATAAATTTGAAAGAAATTGAAAGTTGTAAAATAATGGTATCTCATTTCTGTGCTTTTTAGATCCTATAGAGACAGTATAAAGTGAAGATGGAACAATTTCAGTTGCATGTCTATATATGCATTATATTGCATTGTGTAAAAACAATTTAATTGTAAAGGGTCTCTAGTATTATAGGATCTGTGTGAAATCTAACAGCCTAATCACAAAAAATGTATTGGTTATAAAACATTGTTTGTTGACTGAATACTGCAACCTGCTGAGATCAGTTTGTTGCCAAATACTCATTTAGCGTGTTTTGCCAAATAAAGTTTAACTGCCTTGTATGAGGGGGGGGGGGAGTTGATTTTGAAAAAAATTCCTGCAAGGCTATTCTGAACAAAAAAAAACCTGCACTAACAGAGGGAAAAATATCCTGTCCCATTATTTGGTGGGAAAATGTTGCAAAACACTATGGTTACAGGGATCGATTTGACCAGTCACAGAAGATCGGCTGGTTTGATTTTCAGGGACTAGTGTAAGGTTAATTTCGTGTTGGAAAACTCATGAAAGTGAGCTTGAAGAAATCCAAAATTTTCTGGGGGGGCATGCCACCAGACCCCTCTAGAGGCTCCCACCTTTGATGGTCGACTCGGTTGTCTCAGAATCCTAGGTATCACTATAGCCTGATATGCTGCCCTATGGCGCATACTTATTAGTTAATAAACTATGCATACATATGCTGCAAGTAGCTGCAGCAACACATACTTGCCGACCGGAACTTCTCCAGGTCCCCCGCTAAATATGTCCCTTCCAGTTACACATCCTTACAGGGCCGTAGCAACCAGGGTGGGGGTTGCAATTCCCCCCCCCCCCCAATAATTTGCTAATAATCATTTTCAAAATCATGCAGACCTTTATCATTTAATCCATGACAAACTGCAAAGGATGAAGATATTACTCATATTTTCCTGCAACTTATCCAATATATAGTTCATTAAATACGCCTTCATCCATTTAGTACTTCTAAATTGTAAATTTCAACATACTAAAACGCTGGTTTCTGACCATCAGAATTCTGTCAAATCTTCCCCAAAGTCCAGGAAATGGCACTTCAGAGACTTTACATTTAAAAATTTCCTCGGGCCATCAGCCCTCGCTTTCAGCCCCCCCCCCAATCGAAAAGAGCTTCCTATGGCCCTGCCTTAAAAGAAGCCCTGAACCAAATGTTATACCTCATAGCAATATGTATTATTAAAAGCAATGCATGAAGCTAGAAAACTCAACGTTAACTATAATCAAAGAATCTAAATGGGTTGTTCCAGAAAAGATCCATACTCCCCTCACGGAGGAAATTTCTGCCGTCCGGAGGGGGAGGGGAGAAAAAATTGTTTCTGATAATCCCCGAGCCGACAGCGCGAAGCGCCGTGCGAGGGTACTAATTCCCCCCGGCTATTTACACCCGGGGAAACGAAAGCATTAGCGGAGTCTAAAGTTCATCAAATATCGCGGGCGTGGGTCACCAACGGTGTTGGGTGGGTGGTCATCCTCACTGACCTCAAAAATATGGCGCACTGTCATGAATAGCGAACACTGATTGGTCCAATTTAAAGTTTGCATTATAACGACTGCATGACGACAGCGAAATAGCAAACATTTCTTGATTTGATGATTCATGATTGATAAATTTCGTGCGAATATATTTCATTTTTTCTCGCATTTTTGCAATATTTTGTAAATTTCAAAAGCTCTCTCAGAAAGAAACTTCGAAAGAATCGGCTAAAAGAAGGGAGCCGACGTTAACGAAGGTAAGTTTGTTTTAAATATTGATTTTATAATGGCTTTAAAACCCGACGGCCTTTGCGTATATGAAACAACTAAACAAGACAGAATATAATTTCGCTCAGTGTATCTTTAATATTGATTCACTTTTTTATTATATTGAATTTTTTAAATAAAAAAGAAAGCAAAGTTATTTGCAAGCGAGAATTTAAAATCATTTTATTGCAAACTCAAAGTTTATCGATAAAGCCATTTAATTAAAGGCAGTTTAGTTAAACAGCACTTTAAAACGTTTTGCTTCGAAGCGTTTGTGGTTGAATTTTACCTTATATTGAGGCTTATATTACGTATAATAACATACCGAACATATATATGTTGGGAAATTAATAATTTTGTAATTAAAAGTGATATTTTTAGGCGATTTTTCATTTGTAAGAATATTCTTACAGAATTATCGTGTTACCATGACAACTACTTTAGAACTTCGATCATATTCGAAAATACAATGGTTTTGTCAGGAAGGCGAGGGTTTGTGCATACATGTATTTTCTAGTAGTAAATGTATTAGGAAATCCGAAGGGGGTAGGGGGTTAACTTCCTATTTCCTCTGTGGGGGTGGTATGGATGTTTTCTGGAATGACCCAATAGTATAATCTATTGAAAAAAAAAATGCTGCGAAAGAGAGTGGAAAAAAAACATACATGGTGATGGGATAGAAAACAACTTGCACATAACGATCCCAGAAAAAAATTCCTTGCCAGCAGTAAATCACCCCCCCTCAAAAGTTAAATGGTCGGCGCCTTAATTCATTCGTTTCTTAAAGGTGATCTACAGTCCGTATGTAAACAAAGCCTTTGTTTACATTTTTGTGTCCAAAATATTGAGCTTTATTCGACAACTATTTATATTTTCAAGCTTCTAGAGTATAATAAATGATCAAGAAACAACAATCAGGCTTTTCAAGAACTCAAAACATAGTTAAACTGTTTGTATCATAAAAAGTGGGCTCATTTGTGCACATGCGCAGATCGGACTGTAGATCACCTTTAATAGTTTTGTCTTTTTACGTTTTGTAAAATGACTAAAAGTAGTTACTGTAAAATGACTAAAGTAAAAGTTTGTAAGCAGTACTGTAGTGTATTTTAATGCAATTGTAATGTGTGTAGGTGTGTCAAGGCAGCAGTCAGTCTCATAAAATATACATATTATGCTGTTTATTAATTGATCTGTATTATTGAGGGCAGAACATATAACAATGTCACAATTTCTTGAAACCTAAAAGCCTGATTTACTCCATAAAGAAAAGACAAAGCTAAAATGATCTCAGCAGGTTGCAGTATTCAGTCAACAAACAATGTTTTATAACCAATACATTTTTTGTGATTAGGCTGTTAGATTTCACACAGATCCTATAATACTAGAGACCCTTTATAATTAAATTGTTTTTACACAATGCAATATAATGCATATATAGACATGCAACTGAAAGTAACTGTTTGCAGCATTGTTCCATCTTCACTTTATACTGTCTCTATAGGATCTGAAAAGCACAGAAATGAGATACCATTATTTTACAACTTTCAATTTCTTTCAAATTTATTAAGTTTAATCTGCTTCTTTGGAATAAAACACCATTGAGGTCTTCTCAGAAGAGTGATAATTAATAATCATGACTATGACTTTAATAAGGAACATATTACACAAGCAGGGATGGTATGGTATATATTCTCACAAGGCATTGCGTTTAAACACCCACCATTAACATAAATAAGATCACTACAACGCACCTGCTATTTTTTCTACCATCCTGAATCATTTGTTCCTTTACCAAATCCCACAAGCGACATAAATTGTTTGCGTTGATAGAAACAAATATGAGGTGATATGAGTATAATATGATCTTGTCCATATAAAATTCACCATTTCCAAAACAATAAAGTTCATGACCAATTTCTCATGTGTTAACTTATGGCATAATTCACCGATCTCTATCAGAAATTCCCATTTGAAAGGAGTTGTCACGACTGTATTCATGATTCATCTCAGTCGCACTCAGAAACGTCGTCAAAAATATAGACACGTTTCTTTACGATTGAGTTAATTTGAATGTAAAAGAGGTCCCCCAACATTCTTGAACATGTGCTTTTGCTTAAAATACCATATTTGACTTGATTTGTTCCTCTATTGCGAGATAACAGAACAAAACAGTTGAAAATATCGTATTAATCACAATAGCTCACTCCTCAAGGTGGTCACAGTAAGATGGCGGCCGCGCGCGACTTCCGGCTTCAATTTCTGTATCTATAGTTGCGCTCTCCATATATTTATAGCTCAGTGGGTTACCCACATTTGAATAGATGGCGGCCATGTTGGTCGTCCCCACTTGGTAATAAACGCTTAAAAACAACAATAACTTTCATCATTTGAATAGTTTAAAAACGTATTTGGAATAGGGTTAACTTCATGTTTAAGTTCCGTGTTTAAGAAATAGAAAATATACGAATCTTCTCATTTCATGGGAACGACCTGAGACTGCAATCACGGCTTCAATTTTTGAATTGCAGAATAATTAGATGCACTATCTAGTGTATATAAGATATCTATGGTTTCATTCAACTAATTTATATTAAAGTTACCAATGAGAATGTTAAATTGAGAAATACATAAACATCAACACTTACAACTCGATGTACACCTACAATGGCAACATGTGGAAGAATCATTATTTTCATAGTTTCATAATAGTATTCTCAATGCCATTAGGTCCATTATAGTCAATAATTTTCTTGTCAAAAATTGCGAATCATTTCGTTTCCACTGCGTATTAAATGATGAAACCCTTCAAATGCTTGCCAAAAATGCACTATCGACATTTGCCATATTCAGACTAGTAAATTGACGTTGTTTTGACGGCGTTTGATATATAATTTTAATCGTAAATTCACAAATTTCCCTTTGCTTCACCCTTCAGTAAACCGCCATTTTGAAATTAGTATCATTACGTCATTTCATCTATACGCTGTCGCTGGTTGGATATAAGCACGCTTACAAACTTCCGGTACGTGCACGATGGCAATATATCTGCATTCGCAGATACAAAAAGCATGATCAGTTTAGCGCATTAGCATATAATATTAGGAGGAATATTACTGTAGGTGGGAATATTAGGGAAGAATATTAGAGGGAATATTACAGGGGGTTATTAAACTATTGTTTTGCCTTTGAATTTGGTCATTGTTTTCATCCTCGCTCTCCCCTGTTGAAATCAAAAGCCCCCCCAGCTTTTCACACACTTAACTGGCAGGGAATAGTAAATATATTTTCTCTGAAGAACAAACGAGACAGAGTAATGTGAAAAATAAGTCGATATATAGCGGTTAACCCTTCAAAATAACACTCTATGTAGTGTGCACTGGATATACAAAATCTATCGCCTCCATTTCCAATCACGTGAAAATGGGCAGTGTTACGTGTTCTGTTCTAGCTGCCCCTACTTTGAATGGGGCAGCCAGAACAGTTGTGACCGTGTTCTGTTCCATGCCATTAGTATTCCCAAAATCCGGAGTACTCCGAACAGTAAATCGAGCAGCCTCCAAATTTGTGCACTGTTGTTACATAATTTTGCAATGCTGTTGAGATTAACTGGACTGAAATCAACCAATCACAGTCGAGTAATATTTTTATGTATATCATTTCAAAGTAAAAAAGCAGTAGATTGTCTTGCAAAGTAAATCATTAGTTTGGGTAATCAGTATACAATTTCGCTGTAACATGTTTGCAACTTTACGCGACAATTGTAAACTAGTAATATGGTGAGTTTATTAAGGGGCCGACCATTTAACTTTTGAGGGGTGGGGGGTGATTTTGACAACAATTCCCTGCAAGGTTATTCTGAACAAAAAAATACCTGCACTAACAAACTGTGGGAAAAAATATCCTGCCCCAGTATTTGGTGGGAAAAAAAATGTTGCAAAACAGCATGGTTGCAGGGATCGATTTGGCCAGTCCCAGAAGATCAGCTGGTTTGATTTTCAGGGACTGGTGTAAGGTTAATTTCTTGTTGGAAAACTCCTCAAAATGCTGGAAATAGCTTATATGAAAAATCCACAATTTTCTGGGCAGCATGTCCCCAGAACCCCTCCGGAGGATCTCACCTTCGGTGGTCGACTCGGTTGTCTCAGAACCCTAGTTATCAATCAATCAATCAATTTATTTACCACACAACATTACATTACAGATTCGCTTATACTCGTATACTATAATAAATATTGGTCCCATTTTACATTTGTTGAATTATATAAAAAAATATTGTTGTGCAGAAGGTTGAGCAGTGAGAAAGCTCGAGAGAACTTGTACAAGCACTGATCAACCAACGGAACTGGGGAGGAGATTTTTTAAGAATCTATGTATTCAAATGGTTGAGTGAAAAAGGAGATATGGCTATATAGAAATAAATCATAAACTATATTATACTCAATATTTATGAATATGGGACCTTAGTCTAGCCTGAAATATAAATAACGTAGCAGCTTCGGTTATATATTTATCTAGTGAGTTCCAAAACAATGATCCACTGTGTTTAAGAGTTAGTTTTCTTGTTGTTGTTCTGACTTTGTTGATATGAACTCTGTTGGCATTCCGCGTCCCGTAACAGTGAATATCTTTGTTAAGGATGGAGTAATTCCTAAAATGTTGCGGGAAAATTGAGGACTTGTCAAATCATCTATACATGAAAGAACCAGTTTGAAATTTATTAATGGCATAAACATCAAGTAACTTGAATTTTGAAAAAAGTGGTTCAGTAGGACCTCGATATCCAGCATTAGCAATAATACGCACTACACGTTTTTGCAATTTCATGATTTTATCAAGATTAGTAGGGTATGTTTTGGCCCAAACTATATTACAGTATTGTATATATGGTAACACCAAGGAGCAATATAAAGTTCCTCTGGTGGGGCTAGTAATAAAATGCTTTATTTATGATGCCAATAGATTTTGCCATCCTTAGGGCAACGTGTGAAATATGTGGTTTCCAGTCTAAATGTTCGTTTATATAAGTTCCAAGAAATTTAGTGGTAGCTAACCTTTTAATTTTTATAGAGTCAATAAACACATTTAAATTGTCTCGACTTGGAATGGGTTTATTTCTTGCACGAAAAAGTATATAATTCGTTTTCTTTAAATTGAGCGAAAGTTTATTTGCTTTAAACCAGTCCGACAGTTTATAAAGTTCACAATTAATTTTACGGATAAGTGTGGCAAAATCTCTGTCGGAATGATATAAACTAGTATCATCAGCAAACAGAATAAAATTGAGAAGATTAGAGCAATTGGCAATATCGTTAATGTAAAGAAGAAATAAAAGTGGTCCAAGGATAGAACCTTGGGGAACACCACATGTTACAGTCATTTTTGAGGAGACCGTCTCACTAAATTTCACAGTTTGTTTCCTATCACTTAAATAATCTTTAAACCACATAAGTGGTGTACCTCTGATACCGTAATGGTTTAGTTTACTTATAAGAATTTTGTGGTCCACAGTATCAAACGCTTTTGATAAATCAACAAATATGCCTATAGTATATTCATTGTTATCAATCGAATGAGAGAGACTATAGATTAATTCAATTAAAGCCATATAAGTTGAGTAATTCTTTCTGAAACCATACTGATTGCTGGATAGGATATGCATTTTATCCAAATATGTTAATAATCTGTTGTAAATAATTCTTTCCAATATTTTTGAAAATATTGGAAGAATGGAAATTAGCCTATAGTAGGCCGTAGGATGAAGGCCTAAATTGTGCCGTTTCATTACAGCCTCCGAGGGAGATAATAATTTTTACATAGATAGAAAGAGAAGGTTTTACTTACTTAGAATCCACTTCCCCCCAAGCGAAATAGTTGCACAAATGAGAATAAATCGCCTCCAAAGTTCACGCTCCCTCATGCTTTCAAATTCACGAGCGGCCATTGTTTTCGTTGCCAGCGCGCATGCGTACAAAGGAAAACATTCAATGCGCACGCGCAGTTGGGGAAAACTGATCTTACACGTAACTGGACACGAAAAACTGCTTAAAAAAAGCCCTAAATAAGAAAAGGTGAAATCGGCAGCGTTTTGAAAAATAGCAGGTCTTCATGGTTTGTACATTTGAATGATACACAAATATTTAGAGCTATTTAGAGTTATATAGTGTATACCCTCCCGAGAACATTATATTACAAATCAAAGACTAACATTTCAAGAATAATGTAATAAGATATAGGATGATATATACACTACACGATGCTCGCAATCATATTTTAAAACAAGTATACACAACTACCAAAAATAATAAAATGCTCAGAAAACTGTTAATAATGTCCAATTACTTTTTACAATTATTTTTACAATTACTTTTTTACTTTGTCAACTTCTTACAATTAATCATATCACAAAACTGTTAAAAGGTCTTGAGAAAACAAAACAATATATTAAAGTAATTAAACCGCGCTGACTAGAACTTTGTGATGTGTTGCTTATCATGAAAACTGTAACGCGCATTTCTCCATGCAGATTCATCTTTAGTTTACCAAGTATCAGGAACGCCTTTTCGCCAGTCCACTATCCACCATGGAGACTTCTTACTTCCAAGACAACCATACTCATAAAAAAGGGAAAGTTTGAAAAAATCCCAGCTTAACACGATGTATGACTATGAGATTATATTATTATGCTTTTATATGCCGAGATGTTAAAATGACTGTTTCGCCCCATATCAGGGCTCATCAGCATGTCTAGAAAACAGATAATACCACAAGTCATGACAAACTGATTCGGAACATGGACAGCCTTACCATACTTCCCTTACCATGGGA